GAGGCGGCGTCCCACATACAGCAACTAGAAGGATGTGCAACTATGACATACAACTATCTACTGGGGCTTTGGGGAGAAAAAGGGAAAAAAAGGAGGAGCATTGGCAATAGATGTTAGCTCAGAGCCAGTCTTCCCCAGCAAAAAGAGGAGGATTGGCATGGATGTTAGCTCAGGGCTGATCTTCCTCACAAAAGAAAAAAAATAAGCATACCTGTGTGAGCTGCTTCAGTTTTCACTCCCACGCCCACACCCCCTCCAGAACTCTCCCTCCCCACCAACCACCAGTGTCTGGGGGAGCCTCCCTCCCTTACAGGGACAGACTGAGGAAGACACCCCTCCAGAGGTGGCATGATTTTCTTCCCTGATGTGCAGGCCAGAGGAACCTGGGAAGGGATCAAGACCACTGGAGTGCCTGCCCATGGTCCCAGCCTCCCTGCAGGAAAACGCTTACATGGCGAAACTCCTTTTTAAAGAAATGCTTTATTGCTGCAATTAGACACCTCATGTACAGCACAAATGACCCCCCAGTACAGAGAATTATTCAAGTGGTAATACTGAGAAACAGTGAGCATACACAAAAGGATAGAAAACTAGACATTTAGGTAACTAGAAACTTCCTAAGAAAAACTTCAAATGTGAAGTGCCTTTTAGAAACTACACCACACATGCCAGTGTAAATTTGGTTTTTATTAACAATCAACTTTCTATAAACATTGCATCTAAATAGGTGATGAGCCACACAACTTAATTACTTCCACAACAAAGATAAATGCTTTTACTTCCCTAGGTTTCAGTCTTTCCTTGAGCTAGAGATAGAAGCTGCATATTTCAAATCAGATCCAAAGGGGAAATTATTTCAAAAGTGTACTTGCATCAGGCCAAATCCACTGTATTGTGGACCCTCACCCTGCTGTTCCTGGCCTCCTCCACCCTGCAGTCTCCCACTGGGCAGCAGACACAGCTCCAACCCTGTGGCGTTACCTGAGGTCCTGGAACCAGCCCAACTGCCTGGGGCCTGCATGTCTGCAGCCAGGTAGGGCACACCCACAAGTGTGGAAACTAAACCCATAAGATTGAAAAGAGTAGACTGAAGCAAAAAAGGAAGAGACATTAGAAGCCTGGAGTAGGAAGAGACCTTTTACAGTTTCCAAGAAAATCTTAAAATAAACGAGGGCACAAAAACCAAATTACTGCTGGCAGCCAAAGTCAGAAGCCCTTGAGTTGTACTGTAACTTTTGGGGGAGTAAAGGCCAAATCAGAGAGGGCTGGCTGGTGACACTCCAAGGCTGCCTGCCTCCCTCTCCCCCTTGCCTGGCCCACAAGTACCAGCCCTCCTGGCCCTGAGACGGGCAAGCTCATCTCACGTTCCTATGTGGTTCAGCCAAGTGCCATCCTCCCACTAAAGCCAGGTGAAAAATGAAGAGAAACTGGGGAATAATTAACCCCCAAAAGAACCTAGAGGGCAAGGTGACACAGACTAAAGGAACATCTGGCACATCCACTGCTCCCACTAGGTGGCAGGACAGCACTACCTTGCCAGGGCTTCATGCTCCAGTCAGTCCCTGGAGGGTAGAGGTTAGAGCTGGGGCTGAGAATGGGGTCAGAGGTGCTCAACTAGAACCTGCAAGAAAAGAGAAAGGCAGGGGGACAGCTGTATGCCATTCCAGGAGAGGAAAGAAGGCCATGAGACAGACTGTCCACAGGCAGAGGGCTTTTAGGAGCTCAGCTGGAGGTGATAAGATGGTGTTAGGCCTTCCTGGAAAGCCGTGAGAGGGCTTCACAGGAGCATCTCGTTGGGTGTGGGGGCAACAGAACAGTCGTGGTTGTAAAGGCACCTTTGCCATCAAGGGTGGGCTGCCCAGGTGCTACCCCTCCCTAAGCACGCTTTCCTCTCCAGAGAAGGTCTCAGAGCTTTTCAAGTTCAGCATAACGGATTCCATCAGGGGGAAGGGGAAGGATTCCCATTTAAAACTTGATCCCAGTCTTCACTTGACCACTCACCTGCTGTTAGAGGGTGGCAGGGACAAGGGGGCCTTGTCTGATTCAGCTCCCCTAAGTGGACAGTCTGTAGCTGCCAGGTGTCGTCAGGCTGAGAAGGGGTGTGGGTAATTGCACTTTGGGGCACAGTGGACACAGGCACGGGGCTGGATGTGGCCTGAAAGACAGAGCGAGGGCAGGCTGACCTATTTTCAGGGGTTGGCTGTGGCTGGACAGTGCCTGCCTGGCCAGAGGAAGGCCACGGCAGAGCAGTTCCTTACACTAGACAGTGATCCTGATGAGTCAGACTTGGGGTGGGAGGAGATGGTAGAGGAGCCCGCTACCACATGCCCTGCCCCCACAGCTTAGAGACCCTGCAGCCTCATCCTGGCTTTCAAAACAAACCACAGGGTTTCCACTGTGAAAGGCAAAGGAACCATCTTGTGTTTGCTTCCTCCTCTTCACAGGGGGTGGATGAAGCACCTAAGGCTCAGGGGACAGAGGAGAGGACCCTCAGGAATCTCGCTCCCTAGAGGAGGCTCTGCAGGTGTAGAGTTGCCCGAAAGTAAGGATCTGGGCATACTCATGTTACACTGCAGACCCTCCTGGCCTATTTTCCTGGAATAGACTCTTACGTGCCTAGTGCAATGAAACTGGTTTTTAAAACAGAATTTTTGAGCAGACTTTTTAAAGGGACAAAGGCCATTTGATGGTGGTGATTTTGGTTTTGTTTGTTTTATGAAAAATAGTACAGGAGATAATCCCTGATGACAGAACAGACTAATAGCAGGGCCAAGGGCCCCCTAAAGGATCCTCTCTGTTCAGTCCAGTTAAGGCGACAAATGGGTGGGGGTGTGGCTGGGGGCAGTGACACAGGGGACCACAGCAGTTTGCTGCTCACTCCTGGCCCTTGTCTCAGAGCCGGACTGTCTGCCTCTCTGCCCTGGGTAGTGATCCACAGACTCTCCCAGGAGCAGAAGCTGGCCAAGGTGGTGGGCACCCTGGAGCACCATAGTGTGCACATCCCAGAGCAGGGCAGTGCACACTCACTCTCAGCATGAAGCCAGCACACCCTGGAGAGGTTTGTCTGTAAAGGAGTAGGTTTTAAATATTCAATTTTGTTCTAATTACTCACTTCCTTTCCTTTTGTTTAGTTCTCATAAACCCATCTTTTTCAGTGGCGACAAAAAAGAAACTTTGAGGGCAGGCCTATGACATAAAGACTTATAACACAGGCTGGAAACCACTGGAATTATGCTTAAATTGCCACTTAGCATCCATTAATTCCCATGAAATGTTATGAAAAAGCCTCACATCTGTTTGTCCTGCTCTATACTCACAAGTCCCTTTTATGGCCACAGAGTGGATATAGAATATATAAGGCAAAAAGGTTTTAGATCTATTATAATGTAAAAGAGATAATCAGGGTCATGAAGGGAAGGTTTCTAAACGAGACGTTCTTTTAAGTGTCAATCCCACTGGACACACATATTACAAAATAAAGATTCTCTTTTTGTAAAGTGCTGTTTGCTTAGTGAATCACTTGCCACCATGCACAGAGCACCACGGCCCGTCTGCTCGGGAGAACTGTCAGCGGCAACATCAGCAGAGGAAGCTCATCTCCCTGGGCTCTCCTCAGGGAGGAGGTAAATCGTCTCATCATGACCAGACACTCCCGAACACTCCGCTCCAGGGTGGGGACTGCTGCCAAGTGGAAGAGGCTGTGCGTCAGGGCCTGGGTGCCACCTTGCTCCTGTTCTTCCCTCAGGTTTGGCATTTTATTCTCTCATTCTGCTCAAGACCACAGGCCAGAACCCAGCCAGCTCCCCATCATGGTGTCATGGGGTCTTCCACCTTCCCTTCCCACAGACATGCTGGCAGAAGTGGAAGCTAGCTGTGCACAGCTGATGTGAGGGCTTGCCAGGAGATTCACTAAGGAGGGTTTAGAAAAAGAGAAGACATTAAAAATAGTCACCTGCGCAGTCTATGCTATTAAAGGACATAAGAAAAGGTACACAGTTGGCAGTAAACAATTTCCTTCAGCTGTTCATGGATGTCCAGGAAAACTACACCCTTCACACAATCAGATGTGAATGATTTCTGCTCCAGTGTCTTCAGGGTCTGTGCAAGAAGAGCTTGTGTCGGAATGACAGACTCCACGTCCATCTTTATTTTCAAAGTTGGGCTCTGTTAGTGCAGATTTTTCAAAAGTACTCCTTTTGCTTGTGTCTGGACAGTTTTGAACATAGATTACTCTGTTATAAGCCTTGAGTCTCTTCCATAATTGTACATACACTTTGCACTGAACATACATAAAAAGAAGTCCGCCGGTAAAGCCGATGGCCACGACCACCAATTTAGTCCAAAAGGGCCACTCTAGGATTCCTGGAAGGGAAAAAACCTGGTTAGCCTATGAGCAGATCTTATTTAAGACCTAAAGCAAATAAAACACAACTTCTGAACTTCCCATACCCAGCGTATTTATTCCTAACTCATCGCATCTTGCTTCGTCACAGGAGGGATGGAAGAGGGTGTCCGCTCCCTCTTATCCTGCTCTTCTAGAAGGCAGTCTGTGGCGAGTCTCACTCCCCATGGTTTGATCCCTTCTGACTGGGCTTTAAAAACTACTACCACAGGAAGAGAAACATCCAAAAAGGATGCCTGGTGCCTCATAATTGATGCCTCCCTCCAGAAACCCAGACAGTTGAGGTCTGACTTGAAAATCAATCTGGAATATTGTTCCAATCCTAAGACCCCAGTGTGTTACCCAGGACATCTGTGCTGAGCTCACCTTTCATTCTGAGCACATACCTGTTGCATGCCCCTGCTTGATCTCCTCAACGGTGCGGTCGATGAGCACGTACAAAGACCAGACCACACAGATGATGGCAATGACATGAAATATCACTGAGCACATGATCTTCCTACGCTCACTGCCCGTCATCTGCAAGTTCTCCCACTGGAAAGACAACACGCAGAGCGTGAGGTGCAGGCTCACAGACGTTAAGGGCTACAATGGGGTGAGAGCACTGTAGATGAGTAAGATTGGCTTTCCTCCCCCTCCCCCTTTCCCGGACGATTCCCCAAATACCCAAAGTTGTTCTCTTTAAACCACTTGGCTTCAACCAGGTACCAGGCACTGGTATTCTGTCAACAGCCAACTTTCTATGCAATGAAAAGAAGCTGGGACTGAGATGAGCTATGAACTACCACCAGCAATGCCCTTGTCTGCTTATTCTTGCAAGCAGACATCAAACAGCTTGATAAAGGATTCTGTGGTTTCAGTCCTGATGAAAACAGCTTGTTGGCCCAAGACCCAGGTGGCACATTTTAAATCTCCCTGACTTGCTGACTGGCATAGGCAGGGCAACAGAAGGGTTGACGACGCCACAACACACTAGCAGATGGGTCACACTACATCGTGAAGGTGATGGCGGAAGGCGCTCACTCTTTGGTCCTCTGCTACTTTGGGAGCAACAGCTTGAAATCGATGCTAAGAGTTCCTGGTACAAGCAGTCTCTGCCAGTCCCATCTCCTCTAGGAGCTCATTAATTTACTCCAAATAGCCACTTTTTCTTTTTCATTTACTGGTTTCGGAATCAGAAGAAAACACATAAAGGTAGAGAAAAAGAACAAAGTGTAAACACTCTGCATATCCTATGCCAGCCCTAGTCATAGCCTCTTTCCAGATGGTTTTATGCAGGATAAGCTGAAAGCAGAGTCTCATGGATTATCTATATTGGCCAAAGTGCCATAAGACTCATTTGAGAGACCAGCATAGAGTAGGTACCAAATAAATTATAAGGCTTTTATGGGGCAAAACATTTTTTAAGTAGTTTGCGCCTGCCTTCTCTAACACCCGGATTGCTTTCTGCTATGGTTTCATACAGTATCTTCATTTGGCTTCCTTCCTAAAACGCTCCCCTGCTCCCTGATTTCCTGCTATTTCCTAAGACACCTTAGTTCCAGCCCTTTACACTCCCTGATATGCTCACCCTGACCTTTTTGGTGGATGCTTTTCTCTAGACTAGACAATCTAACCTCTCTAAACTCCTTTCACTTCACCTCCACATCCTGCTGATCCTGCAAGAACTGCTTCAACACCCAAACACCTTATGATGCTACCACCACTCTACTTCCCCAGCACTCCAGCCCACACTGAATATTCCTTCTCTGAATGTCTGACATGCTCTACTGCCAGGTAAGTTAGCAGGTAATTGGCATTGTCACGTGCTATTATCTAATTATGTGATTCCTTTTGCAATTTACATATTAAAGTTTTGAGATAAGAACAAGTCTTTTATTCTTCCAAACAAAACCTTATGTGCTGGGCATAGAGAGAGAGACATTACATGAACAGTTAATATTTACAAAGGAGGTAAGTGCAGGACGAGGCTCCTCTCAGGAGCAATGACATGGGGCCTGATGACAGTTGTGTTTCCCCTAATGCCTGAGGTTCTTTTCCTCTCCTATCCACCTCCCATCGTCCCATCCAGCAAATACTTATCACAGGTATATACAAATAAATCTACTATGTTATGCTGTGCTTTGTGCTGAGGAGAGAAACTAACCTCTAATATACAGTCCTAATGAGACGCAAGACATGAACAGTTAATAAATATAAAGTAATAGGCTGACTGAGATTTCACAAGAGTCTGTGGTCAAGGGGCAAATGACTGACAGACAAGCAAGCAGTCTAGTTTGAAGAAGGAAGAAAACATTATGACTGAATGGTCAGAAAGAGTTTCTTCCTGAGAAGAGGGACCTGGAAATAAGCACCAGAAACAACAATCTCTACAACATGAACATATGCACCAGCCCCTACTTCTTCAAGAACTACACACAGGCACACCATGGCTGCATCCAGTCCAAGGAGCTAACTCTGGCAGGGACCCTCATCTCGGCAAGGTGGAAGCACTTCCAGGGAGTCCCTACACGTACTTTCCTCAGGGGCTTCAGCTTGGTCTCCATGATGAACTCGTACTTGCACAGCTCGCAGCAGCGCGTGTCAGAGCTCTTGATCCACTGCTGTAGGCAGGCCTGGTGCACGAAGTGGAGGCTCCCCGTGCAGTGGCAGGGGGTGATCAAAGGGCTCTCGTCATCCCCTTCACAGTGACAGATCCTACAGCGGGAGGAAAGCCAGTCATTACGAGGAGGGCCACACAGCAGGGAAGATGACGCTTCAGTGGAAGGTCCATCTCCCCAAAGAAAACTTTCAGAAACAGACATCACAGAAATGACTACAAGCACAAAAACACACAAACACAAATGAGAACAATTACTACAAACTAAAAGTGTCTATCTTACCGTACCAACATGGAAAGTCTGGATGGCATTTGGCATCAGAGAGGAAAAAATGATATAAGAAATGACAAAAGACTCATTTTTGGTAAAACTTAAGAACTTCACTGATAGATGAATTTAAGGCAACATGGAAGCATCTTTCAGAACTTAAGAAATTAAAATAACCAGAGGAAAAATTTCTGTGTAAAACAAAACCAGTATTCTCCTTCCAAAAATACCAGTGACTTAAAAAGACGATGAAATTTGCTTTTTGGCTATAATCACTGACCTCACCTTCACACACCACAACTACACATTTCCGTCCTCTCTCAGAGAGTAAACATAGAAATCACAGGACCTCTCCTGGGCCTAAGAAAACCAGTATAAGGTGCTGCAATTTCATTTCTTTTTTCAGGACCACTCATAGCAATAAGTAAGAATTTTAAATCATTCATTATTTCTAAGGGTGCATGCAACAGGATATAACTGCAAACCACAAGGAACATAATAGACTTCTGAGAAACAGAAAGGTCTTTTCCAGCAGCTGGAGAGGAGGTAAGAACATCTGGCCTGAAAGGAGCTGGGCTCTGGCCCTGGCCAGGTTCTCAGCTGTCTGTTTCTATGAGAGGGATTTCTGAGCCAATTGCTAGGAATGACAGCTGGCCTGAGGACGGACGACAGGGGAGAGGTTAAAATGGGGAAGGCATAAGACAAAAAGTGAATTCTGAAAGATTCTGGAGGCCAGATAAGGATGCTACATACAGGAAAATAAAGGTGGGAAGTGGAGTTAAGATCTGGGTAGGAGTGGCTGTATCCAAGATAAAAAGAAGGACAGAAGGAGCTGCTGAAGCACAGCCTCTCCCCACGCACATCATGTTGCAGGTGGAGCAAGGGGTAAAAATAAGGCCGAAAGGGGCAGCCAATGCTTAAAATCTAGACCGTCAAACTGGAAAACTGGAGACACTATTTTCTTTCTTCCAATTTCTTTATGTCAAGTCTACTTATTTTTAGTTGAAAAGAGTAAGCTTGGCCTTTAATATGTGTAGCTTCTTCCTCTTTTATCATCTGTGAAACTAACTTGGGACCCACGTCCTAAAAAATGGTTTTTCAAATTATATCAATACTTCATTCTTCTGGAGAAAATTATTAACCCGTAATTGTCTACAACTGCCTATTACTTCATTTTCCTGAAACTTCACATATTAAAGCAAGATGAGGCTATGGAGGTATGATGCAGAGATGGCCAGAATGGTGGTTCTTGGCAAACCAACCTGCAGGCATCCCCTGACGTGGACACAGGAGAAATGGGAGGGCATTTTTCAGAGAGGGGAGAAGGACAATCCAGGTCACTGTCCTTCTCCACTGAGCAGAGGGGCGCCCGCAGGACCCTGCTCTTCAATTTTGCAGAAGTGCTGTCCTCAAAGACATCGTCATCTCCCATTTCGTCGGAGCAGAAGCCCATGCTCCCTGCCAGCCCGCTGGAGGACTTGGCAGTGTGCAGGTGAGCGGCACAACCCTCCAACTCGTGGAACCTGTGCAGGCTGCTGGCACTTGAGCCGTGCGAGAGTGAGAACAAGTACCGGAGCAGTCGTCGGCCTCTGGACACAGCCTCGCCATCTGCTTTCTCTTCCAAAAGCGGGACGTGCATGCCCCTCTTGCCAGCTTCCACCTCTGAGGCAGTTGAATGAATGGCAGAAAGGGATGAAACACAAGAATGTTTGGAATTGCCAAGAGGTTTGCAATTCAGTGTTCTTTTTTCTTTATGATGGAACCTGTTAATTTTGAGACACAGATCCTGGGGGAGTATCAGTTTCCCTTCAGAGCAAGTTCTTCCCACATAGTCAAAACTTTTCAAAGTATCCTGAGCCTTTTCACCCACATCATTTAGAGATTTTGAGAACTTCAGTGTTCTTCTGGCTTTGGTATTCTTAGCAGGCTTCAAGGCCTGGACCCATTCTGAACCACAGGAATTTCTCTTTGATGCCTGTAATGTGTCTTTACAGATAACTGTCACAGTGAGCCCTTGTGTCAGAGAATTCTGGCATTGAGGAGCTTTCAAGACAACAGCAGACTGCATAGGACTGTGGTGACAACACTCAGAAAACACTGCACTGGAACTGCATGCAGAGAACAGTGGAATAAAAGCACAGAAAGTAAAAACAATTTTACAAGAGAATAGACATCGAAGTGAAGAAATGAGACTCGTGTGGTAAATTGGTGAGCAAACAGCACATAAAACTGGGTCAACTGTTTAGAGCAAAGGCATACTGACCACGCAAATGGGAAACTGAGAACCTACAGACACTAAGGCCTATTTCTGGGAATCACATGAACCATCGTAGCGTCTGAAGCAGCGTGTTACCTGCAGATGTCCTGATGGGATGGTGTGACAGAAGTGCGAGGGAAGATGGACCCTGGAGCTGACGCCAGCGGAGGACCCCCAGCCTGCAATGACACACGTCCAGTCAGTTTTCAGGTAAGAGTCAAGGGGACCATGAACACCATCTCCTTCTGAATGGCAATGGGTAGAGAATCTAAGAATGTCTGCTATTTCCTATTGCTCAGTGAGTAACAGTATTAGGTCCCTACAAGCCGAGGTAAAGACAAATCAAACAGCATTCTTCTTTTCTTATTTGAGGTGAAAGTGTAGCCAAGAAATATTTGAGACTCTGGAACAGCACCACCAATCTGCAGATTCAGTGGTCATTTATTTCCTAAGCATCTAAATTTAATTAGTTCACATATAAGTCAAGAAACCAAGGATTTACAAGGTGTATGCAAATACAAAAGAAATGTGAGGTACCATCCCTGCCAGCACTTGCTTGCCCAACCCAGCACTCTTTAACCTGGTTCCTGGGATAATCCTAACCAAGGCTGGCAGAAGGTGAGAGCTCCCTCCTACTCACACCTCATGCTGGTCCACAAAACCTCGCTACCCTGCCAGAGCTCTTCATACAAAAGGGAGACTGCCTGACCACAGGGCCACCAATCCATAGCTACCCAGGGCCCAGGAGAGGGCTGAGCACAGAATGCTCCCACAAGTTCTAATCTCGGGCTTGTGAATTAAGAAAACAATCAAGAAAGTGTAAATTTGAAAGAAAGTATAGCAAGAGGTCATGAGATAGAGTAGGGGCTCTGAGGGGTCGTGAACAAGCCAAAATTAGAGAAAAGATCTAGAAGGGTGAGGAAGCACCATGGTGGGAAGAGAAGAGGATGGAGAGAAACAGGAACAGGGAGTACAGCTGACCTGAGGATGTAAAACCACCACTAGTGGGTCCCCCAGCCTCCCACTCCAGCCTCTGTGGGACCCTTGCTATGTCTTGTCAAGACTCAGATTCCTGAGTTTCCATGGCCCTCACAGACCCATGCATATTCACATAAATGTGTTCTTCCCGCCTTAGGACAGTCAGCCTGAGTGAGTACCTGCTCCATGCAACCCAAACAGCCACATGACAACAGTGCTATGAGTCTGTTATCTCTTAAGAGCAAACCCACATCACCTCCCCCTCTTCCCCAGGCCCACTCAAGTGGCCCTTAGTCCTACTCCTTGATTGGGGGAAGCCCCACTCTGGTCCATAACTCCTCAGCTTAGGCCTAGCCCCAGCTCTTGCTAAGTGCCACCTCCAGGGGCATACTCCCATCGTGCACTCCAGCTACGGGACCCCTGACACGGGTCAGCCACCAGGACAGGTAGCACCACTGTCCAGAAACTCTCCCCATCTTCTGCCTCCAGCAAATGCACCAGCCTAGAGAGAGCCAGGAACGGCAGTCTGATTGAGGTGTTCATTGGACTGTTCTTCCTGCTTCCCAGCACGGGGATTAAATAGCATTTTAAATCCAACTCAACCTAAAGAAACCGGATCTAATAGGTTACACGTTATCATGTCACATGTGTATACTAAAATCATGCTGCATTACTCAATCAGCACATCTTCTGAGTTACCAAAGAATCCACATTTATTTTCTAACTGAATGTGCATACAAACACATTCTTTTCTTTGAAAGCATTACAGGTCAAAGTTCTTAAGAATCTAAAGTTTAATTTATTTGGAGACATGAAAATGACATCCCCAGGGGCTGGCCCCATGGCATAGTGGTTAAGTTCAGTGCGTTCTGCTTCGGTGGCTCAGGTGTGGATCCCAGGCGCGGACCTACACCACTTGTCAGCCATGCTGTGGCGGCGAACCACACACAACGTAGAGGAAGACTGGCACAGATGTTAGCTCAGGACCAATCTTCCTCAGGAAAAAAAAAAGGACATCCCCAAAATGATCTGTCACTACTTTGTCACAATTCTTCCTAAATTTTAACAAAATGAGAGGGCTCTTGCGACTCACATGGACATTATGCTGTTACATTCCCAATGCATGAGCACCCTCCTCCTGGGCACCCATCACAGGCTCTACCCCTGACGGCTCCTCTGCCCCAGCCTGGCCAGAGTTCTGCTGTCTAGACTCCTGAGATGAGCACACAGGGCCTTTACTGTTAATCACTACAGGAAAGCAGGCTGAGGGTCGCCACACTATGGTCCCAAACTCCTACACTCTGCCTGTTCTCTGATATTCAGTTCTATCCCCATTCTGAGATAGAAAGGGTTCTTGAACTTCTTTCTCCCATCTTTTACTGCTGAAGGTGACCAGCTCTGTTCAGCATCTGTAGGCAAGGTCAAAAATGTATCACGAAGACCACAAGCTGGTCATGGTGTACTGTAGAGAAATGTGAGTTGTCACCATGCCTCCCCAAGTAGACCCCGGAGGAAGGGAGGACAAGAGTGTCCACCTATCTTCATATCCTTGCCCCCTCTATGAGCTGTGAGGTCAGCTCTCCTTTCTGTATGTTGCTGGGTCAAGTTTAGTGGCTCAGACTGAGGTACAGAAGGAAGCCACCTCCCCACACAAAGGATAGAAAAGTGCACTGCTCATGCAGAAGACAGGGGGAATTACCTAGTTATCTCCCTCCCTATTATCTTTGTAAGGACATGATCCTCCTGAAACCATGCATACTTGCCTGTATTCTAAAGGGAAGGCAAACCCTATGGGAGGAAAGTGGGGTCTTATCTGAAGAATGAGGCCCTCCCAAGGTCAGTGTCCTGGGAGGAGGGAGGTCTCAGAAGGGAAGCTAAAATCAAGACAAAATAGCCTCTCACTCCTTGAACTTGAAGTAATCCACGTCAAAAAGGGAAGTCTGGGGTAACAAAAACATTATCACACGCCTGTGATGGGGGGATCGCTCAGAGGTAGGAGGGAAGAGCCTCAGAGCAGAAAAAGCCTACATTGAGGAAGCAGCCAGACTGTCCACACACACGACAGGTCTTGTGATCACGTCCCCACAAAATTTCCCATCTCAGGTGTATCATGGGGAACTCACACACAGTCGTGTCTATACTTGCAGCAGAGCATCAAGCCTGGGAGACAGTGGCAGCAGCCCCTAGCCCCTGCTCTCTGTTGATTTAACAGGAACAATCTCAGCATCCTCTATCTACATTCCTGTTCTCATTTCATCCTCTCCAATCTCACAAAAAACATCACGAGACACTCTCAGCAGGTAATGTCCAAGCCTCAATAAGCCTCCCAATAACAGATAAAAAGTCTCTCTTCTTCTTAGATTATAAGGTTTCAAGGAAATTTTTAAAATCTACTTACTGTTGTTTTACATAAATACAAACGAACAAATGCCTTATCCTGGCTGACTCCTTTTCCAATAAGAGAAAGCAAGCAAGATTCATGGGGCCATCACAGCTCCCAGAAGAGGCTCCTTCTGTCACCAGCTAAAGAGGACCACATGTTCCAAAGTTCAGAACCAGTTCACATGTACAGGATTTAGGGCTGGCCTGATCAATAGCAGCAAAGACAAAATGAAGCGAATAGCTTCAAATACAGTTCCAGGGTCCAACTGGGGAAGTTAAGGTAAGTCAAGGGGCCGGCAGGTCCCTCTCAGAGGTTCAGAGCAGCAGACAGCTCTCCCGCTCTTCCTGACAGCAGTGGGCAGGGTGGGATGGGGAAGGCCATGGGGCAGTACTAGCCTCAAGGGAAAAGGAGACTCCGTGCCACACAAAACTACGGAGAACACCCTCTCCCCACCAAAAGGGTCAGACCACACAGGACTGTTACTGATAGAAAGTGTAAATGTTTATAATGAGAAAATTCAAATGTATGGAGAGATCTTAAGCCCTCTGTTTCTTAAGTTCTTTGTTGGTTCTCAAACAAGAGACTTTCCAGTCATGAAAAGGAATGTAAGGCAATCTCACTACAAAAAAATTTTCCTAAAAATCCCCTCTTCTTAAGATGTTGTAATCAATTATGCCAAATAAACCTCTGGATTGTGTCTAGGCCTAAATCCCAGTTGCTCTCATTTCTTAAGAATGACAAATACTTTTAGGCAATTTCTTTTGCTGTACTCAAGTCACTTAGTGGTTGCCTTTCCTATCAGATTCATTGTTTTAAATAATTTTATCAAGGCTGCCAAAAATATATAAGGAAAAGAAAACTTTTCATTTATCCTTGGTAGAATTTGGCATTCACCCTTTTTTTATTTCCTTTTAAGAGAACTTACTGCTGTTGGAAGGGCTATCATAACAGACTCATCAAGTAGATTCCTCAGGAACTTGCCAATTTTCCATCTTCTATTTACATTTTACCTCAGAGGGACTTTCTCATTGCAGGACACCAGCTGTACCTTCCTGACTTTCTTTCTGCTTCACTTCCTTCCCTTGCTCCTTCCACTTGGTTACTTCCCAACTTCTCTCTCTACCACCTCCTCCTCCTTCTCTGTTGCAAACCTCCACTGGGCCTTCTTTTCATTTACCAGCAAAGGTACTTTTCAAACATTTTGCTCTCTAACAAAATTTGCCCATCTGATTTATATCAACAGGTGCAGGGCCACAAGAAATGGTTTGGTTGGGTTCATTTGCTTTTAAGCCAAGAGGAATTTGAGGAAGGACTAGATAAGGAGAGCAAGATGCAAGTAGGGCTCATGTTTACAACTGACCTCAAATTATAGTATATCAAATCAATGACAAAAGAAAAAATGGAAAAGGAAGTACAGATGGCTCTTAAAATATGAAAAGATGCTTAACCTCTCTCACAATGAGAAATATAAATTAAAACTACGAGATGCACTATTATCAACAAAAAAAGTTTTATTTAAAGAAATCAAATAATACCTGTGTTGGCAAAAGCATGGGGAAACAGTGATGCTTACACACTGCTGGTGGGAAGGAAACTGTAAACTCCCATAGAATACAATTTGGAATTTCTCTCAGAATTACAAATGCACATACACTTTGTCTCAGCAATTCTTCTTTTAGGAATTCATCCTCACCCATATGCACAAAGAGCTTTGTACAGCATTGTTTGTGAGGGCAAAGGGCTGGCATAACCTCAATGCCCATGGGCTTGGAGCTACTGAGTCAATACTGGTACACCAGCAGAAGGGAACACCAGGCA